AATAATATTTTTACTGGTTTTTGATTTGTATTAAGGTCCCATGCAGCTTTGTTCCGTATGAAGTTTTTTAATCTCTTCCCTTCTCCTGTCGAGACCAAGTCTCCGAAAAAAATTGATCTTTTCCTAGCATATTAGCAATTGTCTCTTATTTAAGCAGTTTCATGAGAGTACCGACAGTCTTAAAACAATAAAATTCAAATAGCATCAAAATATGAATCCAATCATTTTAATATTCCATCGTCAAAACTTTCTCAAAGAACTAGACTCATACTTCATATCTGTGAAAGAAAAACGACATCAAGTAAATGCGTACATGACATTTGTAATATTTCATACCCCCCAAATGCCATTCCTACCAACAATGTTCACAAGATAAATGCCTTGCGGCATGTCATAACTACTTCAACTGCTGCGAAGAAAACTTTTACTGCCATGTGAAATAGTTTATCAAAAAAAAAAAAAAACTTTGGCTGACTTAATAACTTAATATTGCTCATATTAAAGGAAAATCACGAAAAATCTTGAACTACTGCTGCACTTTCATCTCCTCCGTCATATTTTTCCACTTATTGCCATCTTCTGCAAAAGTTTTTGCTTTTCTTTTAGTAAATGAAGAACTTTTTAAGAGGGTTTTGATGTCAAATAAATGAATGATTTTTCCACAAATTCTCTTCCTCATCTCCTTTCCTCTTTTGTGACTTTATTACTACAGTATGTTTGGAATTCAAAGCTTCATCTACTTTTCTCTCAACTTGCAAGGGATTGATAACTTTTTAATTGGGTAAAATTGATTGATGTTAGCTTTAACTTAGCGTGGTGACTGTTTTTGAAGTTCTGTAATCTTTTGGAAACTGATTTGTTTGATCTTTAGCATTAATATTGATTGCTACTTTACTTCGATGGCCTTACAGATCAATTTTGATCCATGGCCTTCCTCAAATTTTGCCTAAAACTGGCTCTATCGCTGGGTACCGCTTGCCAATTTCCTATACCAAATGCAATACTGTCTCTATCAACAGCCTCTTTCCATGAGTTCTTTGGCCTTCCACGTGATCTCTTTTTATCTACAAAATTGGATTTAAAGACCTTACTTAATGGAGCTTTCACAGGTTTTCTCACAACATATCTAGCCCACCGGAGCCTGTTTACTTTAATGTGTTTAATGATATCAGCTTAATATTACTTAATAATGATTAAGTATCACTTTATAATGAGTAATGTAAAGATAGGTCAATTTTGCTGTGACCAATAGCGTACCAAAGAGATTTCAAGATCTGGTATTGATTTGAAGATGTGCTGAAATCGATGTTGCCAAAATTATAAAATTAAATCAGATTGCTGTGAAATATATACCTACTTAACAGCTTACTTGATCATTTGCTTCTCCTAAAAGTATGTTACGGTACCATGAGTATACTCACTTGTCTGTTACGATTCCTTGTCGAAGAAATTTGTTGAATCATTCCAACTTGCATAAATTATTGGTATCTGAACCTCCTTTGATTACTTTTGCCAGCATTCAATAATTCTTGCTTAATTCCATGAGTTGTTCGATCTGATTTAAGATCTTAGGGTGACTTCAGTTGGGTCCTTTCAGATAAACTTCATCTTTGTGATCCTAAATGTCAATATGAAAATTAATAAAATATTGCGAATTGCATGGCACACTCTTTTTCAATGTGATACAAAAATTTTTCTTAATTTTCGAAATTTTGTATTTCTAGACATTTTTGATTCAAGAAGGATAAAAAATTGTTTTCATGTTCTCACTCCTTGTAAACTGTTCATTTTATCTCTATCACTTTTCTCCTTTCCTACTTATTATTTCTCCACATTTCTTTCGCTCTGTTCATGTCATTAAAATGAAACTTTGCTTTTTGCAATTTTTTTTTTCATCCCCCATTCTCCCTTCGTCATCTTTTATACCGTTTTATGCTGATGTTGATTATTCCTCTATCTACTTAAAACTTACAACAACTCACTACAGTACTGTTGATAATGAGTAGTCGATAAAGTTGAAGAGTGAAGAGTTAATTAAAGACATTGCTTTCATAAGATAATTGAGTATAGCTGCAAATCTCTTCTCATTGTTATGACATCTCTGCCGCAAAGCATATTTTTTTTGCTCTTTCCTTTTGCGCTTCATCCTGAGCTGATTGCTATTGAGAGATCTCCTTTCATTTTATCTTTCGTTTGATATCAACTACTTACTTTCATTTTATTATTGAGTAGATTTTATAATTTTCTTTCTTATTAGCTTGTCTGTGCTAATATTGAACACGCGATGACAGTAATTAGAAAAGACAATCTTTTTATAGACAGCAAAAAAATTATTCATTAGATTGAGATTCATAAGATCCTATATATTTGTGGTGTTGAAGCAGAGTGGAATCTGGAGTATCGAGCTATATGTAGGCGAATTTGTGATAGCGAGTGTTAAGCCTCTGTGGGCGAGTTGCTAGATAATGGGCCATTTATATATAACATTTTTTGCGAAGTCGTTGGTTCAATTCCTACCAAAAACCAAACTTTCAATTATTTTGCATAAATAGTTGTCGATATGACAAGGATATTCACACAATGCTCGCAACATTTCAGCATTTAATTCCACATTAAGTACAGTCAGGCGCATAGCCAGGTAAGGATTTGGGGGCAAGTTGCCATTCGTCATCAAAAATTTCTTCATTTTAATAGGGGCTTTATGCCTCCTCTTCAACTTCCTGAGTACAGTCACAGATTTTGGCACTAGATGATTTCCTTACACGGGGACCACATTTCAACACTAAATGAACCAGAAATGACTAAAATAATGAATATTTTTTTCTTTGTTCTTCTTAAATCACATTAGTCAAAACGGGGAATGCTTAATTGTGTGACTTATCAGATTTTTATGAGTTTTAATGAGACAAGTAAGAAGGAAAAGAAATTTTCTTCCTTAAATGTCCACACAGAATTAAATGAAAGCTTCTTAATGAGTTTCCTCAATTTTTTTTTTTCATAATTTTTGTCCCCCATTTCTCTCAATTTCATGTAGATTATTTCTAGTGGAATCTTCTCCTCGCTCTTCTATGTCCAATGAATGTATTTGATGCTATTTTATGAAATGAATATTAAATGAAGCCACACAACTTTTTATTCTTCTCTTTATTTTTGCTTGAACAGCATTCGAAAGTTTCTCATCCTTAGTTATTCATTCTTTCATTGTTGATGTCGCATTTTTTTATCATCATCATCTTCTCGCCTCCTTTTTTTCATACTTAAAATGTTTTTATAATTCACGAATTTTTTTTCTTGCCTTCCTTCTTTGCCACTTAAAACTTAAACGTTCCATTTCATAGATGTGTGTGCTTTCAATGTTGTCATCATCTTTTCGCCTTTAATAATGCTTAAATTCTAAGACGAATATTAGAGGTTTCTGTTTTACGGATGTAGATTGGTTGGGGATGTTTTGGATATTCGAACCGTACAGATTTGGATTTAGAATATGAAGCAGTAGTTTCATACTTCTATATGCTTTAAGTATGTATGTGAATTTGATGATTTTGAAGTATTCACATCCAGTTGTTGGTTTTGAATTATTATCGATGAAAACAGTTATTTTTCAACTTTAATTTTTTGTGTAACCTAGGATATATCAATGCAATCAACCTACTTACTTACTTCTTACTTCCTTGGCTATGGTGCACGTAAGCCCATTGCCGCATTCAGAGTTCATCTAAAACTGGCTCTATCCTTACACAACTTCTGCATGTTTCTAATTTCTAGCAGATTTGCATCGTTGCTTACACAGCCATTCCATGAGTTCTTCGGTCTATGCAATCGACCTAGCTACAATTTATTAAGTAGCAAGTCACACAAACCTAATTGGTATAGATAAAATAGAACATAATTCATCACTAAACAATTCTTGAGCTCGAACCTGGTCGTTGCCACTTTAGCCACTATGATTTAATTAATATTTCGTTTCGTCATTATCAAGCTTATCCAGTGTCGCAAAAATAAGGAATCAACTTCGACCAAACAAACCCCAAAAACTCCTTTGGGGCTGTTCACTTATTACGTAACGCGAAAAAATGACTTCTTAGACCCCCCCCCCCCCCCCCCCTCGTAACAAAATTTGTATGAAAAAAAAATTTCCTTGTTTGAACCGTAACAAAATCTTAGACCCCCCCTCCCCCTAAAAGCGTTACGTAATAAGTGAATGGCCCCTTTACAAATTATGACAAAATATGAGCAAGGGTTCGCATCCTTTTATTCTTGCGTTCGATAAAGAATTAATCTTAGCTCGATTCAGAAAAAGTTACATGACAAATCTACAGCCTCATGTGTAAGTCAGGTTATGAAAACACTGCGATCCTAATTGTCAATAGATTCTTTTCTGCCGAAGCTGTTCTTTGCCTCAAAATCATGAAAAAGAAAAAAAACATTTTAATCAGAATTGTTTTTACTTTATTTATAAAGCTTATATTTAAAGTATAATTATAACTGAACTCCTAAACCCAACAGATAAGACAAAAGTAACGACGTGACTACACGAGTGATTGTTATTCAATGCAGAGTTTCTTAAGCTTCAAAAAAACTCTCAATCCTCAATGTAGACTTAAGTAGCATTGAATCTGAAGAGTCTAACAAAACTAAGAATATAAAAAAGCAGCAAAAGGTTCGTTCAAGAGGTTATCGACTCATCCCGAGAAGCACATGTTGGAATAATGTGTTGCAGGCAACCAAGAAGAATTGCTGCTTCTTGTCAATTGGATTCCTCTTGATTGTAAGCATTCTGATTGGTTTGACCACCTTATCGACATACATTGTCGGTCGGGGTGCAAATTTTCAATTCTTGGAAATGACGTAATATTTTTTAAAAGACTTTAAAAGAGCGAAAACAGAATTAAAACATTTTTAATATTTTTGCAGCTATAAAAACCCAAAATGTAAAGATTTATTGATTCAGTTCTAAAGTGATAGCCAGTTGTGAAGCTTGGTAAAGTGACTTTATAAACATGAAGTTTTTAACCTCGATCGTTTCGTTAATTCTATTAACATCGGCTCACATCAATGCCAACAAACATGATGCTGATTTACTTTCTGTTATTAATAAAATGAAGTCAATCAATTTAAGGGACTTTAACGAGGTTATGAAAACAGTTTCAACAGAAGTTCTTATGTTCATTTCATTTTTCGATTCAGCTTGCGTTACTAAAAAACTCGGTGTTGACAATGTTGCTCAAAGTTCAATTTATGATATTCCAAATTTAAAACAATTTCAAGAAGCAAGCAAAACAAATTTAAAAATCATCAGTGCGATTGAAAATGCTGCAAGAATTTGTTCAAGGAGCTTCCCGTATGCTGCAAATATTGGAATTACACAGAATATTGAAATGCGTGAAGGCTCACTTCAGTTTATTTTTTCTGTAACAAAAGATAATCCAAAGAAGGCAACCGAATGTTTCAAATGGTCATTAGCTCAAAGTAAACCAGAATCACCTCTTTTTAATGGATTCGATGTTAGTTCCATAACGTTTTCTGATGAAGAATGTGCAGCAGCTACTTCAACTGAAGACTTATCAAATTTGGCTGAATACAAAATAATCAAGAGTAATATCAAATCATGCAATGCAGAAACTTTTGGACAGATCAAAACAATAGCTGGAAGTATTTTTGAAAAATACTTATTGTCGACACTCGAAGGAACTCCTGAATTCAATGAACTTGAAGCAGACATTAATGCATCAGCTGTTAATGCTGAAGTCCAACTTTTAGAAGCTCAAATCAAATGTTATTTAGATGATTTGGAAAATGAGTAATTCATCTGATTAAAATCTCAAATTAAGTTTAATAAAATTTGAAGAAAGTTCGAGCAATTCTAATTATGTTTAAGTCGCAAACCCTTGTTTAAGAAACAAATGCTCTTCCATAATCATGTCAAATCACTCGCTCACAAATTTCTTATTCTCACGCTGTTAGACTTGTCTATCCCTTATTACACTTTACTTCTACACAAAAATCAAAAGAAGAACAAAACCTAAAACTCTCAATTTTTTGACAATATTTTACATGTGAGCTGTAAAAGATTTTTTATTCTCTCTAAATAAATACCGCACATATTTTAATAATCCTTACAGTTGTTTACTAATCAACGCCAAATCAAGACTCTGTTCTTTACGTCCAACAATCTAAAGCTTTAAACATGAGGTTCTTTATATTTATCATCCTATCAATAGCAGCAATAGCTAACAGCAGCAATCTAGATGCTGATTTTGCTTCAGTCATCAGCAAAATACAAACAATCAACCACAAAACTGCTAAGCCAGAAGAAATGGATACAGTTCCGCTAGATATCGTCTTATTTCTTCCATATTTTGATCGTGACTGTGTTGTTCAAAAATTAGGTCTCAAACCTGTAAATTCAAATCAAATTTATAATATTCCAAAATTAAATGACTTCCAAAATGCCAGCACTAAAAACAAGAAAATCCTAATTGCAGTTGAGAATGCAGCACGGCTTTGCACTAGAAATTCTAAAGACAATGAAGATGCTGGACTTTTTCAGATGATTCAACTTCGTGGATTTTTGACTGAATTAGTTTTTCCAGAAACAAAATTAAATCCAGACAAAGCTGTTGAGTGCTTCAAATGGGCTTTAAGCAAAGTTAAGCCAAATTCTCCAGTTTTAGATGGCTTCAAAATAAAATCCATGAAATACACAGTTGATCAATGTAAAGTAGCGACGTCGATCCAAAAATATTCAAAAATTGTTGATGACAGAACTCAAAAGCTTAACATTCAATCGTGTGATCAGGAGACTTTCGGACAAGCTAAAACATCAGCCACAACTATCATGGAATTATTCTTATTTTTAAAACTATTTAGCGCTCAAGTTGCCCAACATCAAGATGAAGTTACAGGATCAGCAATGAATTCAGAAGCTAATCTTTTGGAAACTGAGCTCAGCTGTATTTTGAGAGATTTAAAAAATGAGTAAGACAGTTGGTTTTTTGGGGTCATTGAGAATGTAAATAAATAAAGGTGATAAGGAGTCCAAAATATGAAATAAATCTGTATATGCTTATCAATTAATCAGTTAAATTTCATTAAACTTAATTTTTCTTTCATATTATGTTTAACATGAGTGATTCACTCTTCCTGGATTCAGTGTTTCCTAAACTTTGGTTCATGGAAGGGACTTAAGATTTGCGCCAATAAAAGTTCTATTTCAGCTTTTTTTGTGATGGCTGATTTGATTGTACGAAGAGCAGGTTAAGTGGTGTGGTAGTGTACACACAGTTCATTGGCTTGGATGCCTATAGGATGTTAAAGACTTACCCGTCTTTTTCTAATCATTCAAATTGAAAAATCTTTGAGCTTCTTGGTTAACAAAAGCTGGCCATATGCTAAGACCAGTGTTGTTGAAGTCTTTGTCCTTAGACATACAAAAGCAGAGTTTTAGTTTTCAAGTTGAACGTCGATCAAGCTGAGCGTTCCTCTAGCTTAGCATCCTTCTGGCTGAGCATCCATAATAGTAAATTGCAAATCATAGTTTTAACAAGGGTCAGGCGCGTAGCCAGGTGGGTCTTGCCTCCCCCCCCCCCCTTAAACGTTTTGAAACGCAGCGAGAGCAAGGCCTACTCCTGGCTCTGCGCCTGACAAGGGGCCATTTATTTATGACGTCCATCAAAAAATGGAATTTTAAGACCCCCCCCCACTCTCCACTCATTATCACAAAATTTTTTGTATGGAGATACACAAAATCTCGAACCCCCTCCCACCTAAATTTGGACGTCATAAGTGAATCCTTAAATCCCAAACTGTTCAAAAGATAAACCTTGAAAAAAATGCCCGTTAATCAGAAAAAAATATGTAGAAAATACAGTTATCTCACGCAAAAAAGGTTTGCCATCCACTGTCCTAGATTGACACAATCAAATTTTTATTTTTAGCTATATAAAAATCACAACATTTCTATAAACTTCTCAGTTGATTTCAAACCATCATTCTGTCTACAACAATTTAAAATTGTCAACTTCAAAGACGTTCATCATGAAGATTATTTCAACAGCTTTGGCTCTAATTTCATCATCTTTAATACTTGTAATTGCAAGTAGCAATCTTGACATCGATTTTGCATCAGTCATCTATAAAATTCAATCGATTCATATGAAAAAAGGTTCAGTCGATCCACTTCCAATAAAATTTATCACATTTTTCAACCGCGACTGTGTTATTCAAAAGCTAGGCTTAAGCAGTGTCGACAAAAGTAAAATTTACAGCATTAAAAACTTGAAAGAATTTAAAAATGCAAGCTCCAAAAATAAGAAAATTCTGACTGCCGTTGAAGATGCTGCTAAACTTTGTGCACGAGATTCAATTGATTCAAAGGACATCGGACTTTTTCACACAGTTCAACTCCGCACCTTCTCTCAACAAATTGACTCATCAGAGCATGGAGGATGTCCAATTAGAAGAGGATGTCCAATGTTTTGAACTTTATTTTAGTCAACTGAAACTAAATTGGTCAGTTCTTGATCGCTTGAGGCAAGCACCATGAAATGTACAATTTATAAATTGATCTTTGGATTTAGAAAACTTGGACGGTCATGGAAAAACTCTGCAATAATAAAGGAAAAGAAACTCTCATGAAGAACATCAACTATAAAAATACAAAAATTATCAGTTATCTGGCAGCAATAGGTGCTTAAAGATGAGACAGTTTTGAAATCAAATGTCAAAAAAAATCATATTGATAATATTTTAGGATTTAATGAGAGAATTTTTTAAGTGTGAGACAAAGCTAACAAGCTAGTTTTGGCAATAAATGTCACATAACAATATTTTAAAATAGCGCTCATTTTTAATTAACAAGAATTTAAAAAATCTAATATTAAAAAAATTTGTGTGAATATGAAAATAAAAAAAAATTAAAATAATTCAAAAACTTCAAATTTTTTTTTTCCTGCAAATTCATAAATCTATAATGAAGTGACTAATCTATAATCAAGAGTCTAGACTTCTAAAAACTCTCAAAGTCCACCTTTATGGCACTTTATACTGATAGTAAATCTAATGATGAATCATAAAGCAAATCTTCGTAGAAATTAAAGTCAATCTTCCATAAATGACGTCCCTCAATAAAATAGGGAATAGATCACAATTGATCTGTATGGCCAGAGAAGTAAAGTGAGTAAGTTCTCAAAAAATGAGTTGCAGTTATCAAAAATGTAAAAAATATAAATATTATTAAGCTCACACAGTTTAATTTAACCTTCAATTCTTAAATAAACAAATTCAAAATTCATCCGAGTTTAAATCATTTTACATCATGAAGCTAGTTCCATCAACAATAATATTAACACTATCCTTAACAACACTAGTCAGCAGCAATATTGACATTGATTTTGCATCAGTAATCAACAAAATTCAATCAATTGATGTAATAAATGCCGACTCGGGAGAATCAAAATCAATTCCGCTAGATGTTAATATGATTATATCATTTTTTAATCGAAGTTGTGTTATTGAAAAATTAGGACTTCACAGCATCGATCAAAGTCAGACTTATGAAATTCCAAACTTGAAAGAATTTGTAAAATCAAGTGCTAATAATGCAAAGATTCTAGTTGCAATTGAGAATGCAGCCAGGCTTTGTACAAGAAATGCAAAGGATGTTGGACTTTTTCAAATGGTTCAGATTCGTAGCTTCTTGACAAAGTCAATTTTTCCTCACACACGATCTAATCCTGAAAGAGCTACTCAATGTTTCAAATGGAAAATTAGCCAAATAAAACCAGACTCTCCAGTTCTTGATGGTTTTGATGTCAGTACCATGAAATACACAGTCGATCAGTGTAAAGCTACAACATCACTTGAATTGTACACAAAAGTTGTAGAAGAACAAAGAAGTAAATTAGAGATTAGATCATGTGATTTGGAAACATTTGGGCACATCACAAGAACAGCCAAAAGTATTATAGAAAACTTCTTATTCCTGAAGCTATCTAGTGCACAAATTGTGCAGCATGAAGCAGTAATAAATGTTGGAGCTATTAATATTGAAGCTGATTTGTTGGAGAGTCAACTTAATTGTGTGATGACGGATTTGAAAGATTTGGATATGTAATCAATGATTGTTTGGGTTTAAGGGGGTTTAAAAGGGGTGCAGGGGGGTTCAAGAGTAGTAAAATTTGTTCAAGCATTTTTCCAAATGTTTACCAGATTCTGAAGTTTTTTAAAATTCTCAAAAATAAACCTCTTTTTATTGAGAAACATAAGCAATACTCTCTCAATAAAATGACTATTTCTACTCAAATTGGCTTATCACCCCAAAAAAATTCTACAAATTTTCTCAGTTGAACGTATAAAATTATACAGTCGTTTCGTAAATTCAAAAGTAAATTATTATGAAGCTTCATTTAATCCTAATTATTTTATCAGCATCTACTTGTGTAAAGTGCTCCTCTGTAGATGTTGATCTTGCTTCTGTGATCAATAAAGTACAAACTATCGATGACAATGAATCAGTTCTACAAATAATTCAAAATTTAGCTCCAAGTGGACTCGCAAGAGTCATTCCATATTTTAATCGAGACTGTGTTACTCAAAAATTAGGACTTACAAATTTTGTTCAAAGCAAAGTTTATGAAATAAAAGATTTAAATTTATTTTACAATTTAAATGCAAAAAATAAGAAAATCATCACGGCTGTTGAATTAGCTGGACGGCTATGCACAAAAGATTCTAAAACTTTTGATGATAAATTAATCATTGATTCAATTGAATCTCGATACTTATTGCTGGGAATGGAAATGATATTTCCAAATGCAAAATTAGATACGCAAAGAACAATCGAATGCTTTAAATGGGCAATAAGTAAAGTCAAGCCAAACTCACCACTTCTTGAGGGATTCAAGTTAAGTTCCATGAAATATTCAATCGAGCAATGCAAAGAATCTACATCAATCACAGATTACTCTAACATTATGGATAAAAATAGGCAAATTCTTGACATTCATTCATGTGATTCAGAAGAGTATGGACAGCATGAATCCACAGCTATCAGCACCATGGAATTCTTTGTATTAGGTGAATTGCCATTCATAAAAATGAATGAAATGCAAGGAATTTTAAGGCAGTCTTTCATAAAAGATGAATCAAAAGTGTTGGAGCGTCAACTTGTATGTATTCTGAGAGATCTGAGCGAGTATTGAGAGGATTTAAAGTATTGAAATTTTGATTGGAGGAATAAAGAGAAACATTGCACAGCTTAAAATTCGTTGACCTTTCAGTAATAAATTTAATTTATTGTCAATTGGTTATAAAATCAAGAGTTTAAGGTTTTTATGCATGACTAATTTTGAACAAAAATATTGACAATTAGCGTCAGTATAGATCAGACGTCTACAATTAAGTTTTAAATTTCTTGTCTAGTATCTTGTGACCAGGGTCCTTGTCCAAATCTAGTTCTTTGAAAAATAATATGTTTTTAAGCTTCACGGTGCGACTTTCAAGCTCCTTAAAATAAATTTCCTTTTTTTAAAACACAAAAAGAGAAGCTCCAAAATTATCACATCAAAAATTCACAATTTACCGGAAACAGCAATGGCACTAAAGTAAAACGAAATGAAAGGAACGAGGGGCTTGTTGGATATGCGATAATTTCTATCATCTTCAATAAGTTCTTCCTTCTTTTTGCTTCATTTTAAAGACAAAAAAAAAATACTTTTTTCGTCTATGTCATCATCACCATTATAATGAGAGTGAAGCTGTCGTCTTTTCTACACTCTTCGCTTCCTTACTACTTTAAATGTTTGATTAGATTTCGTCATAGCTTTTAAGCAACGGAAGCAGTGGGCACATCGAATGAAAATTTTGAGGTGTCTTTTTATGACATTTAGATGATGATGATGACTGTGGTGGTGGTGACAGTGGGGTGCAGGGATGATAATCTTGAGATTTTTTTTCAGAATTTTGAAGAACTTCTTGAAACAGGAACAGATCGTTTAATTATGATGTCTTATGAAAAATTGATTTTTAAGCATCTTTCTCCCTAGGTAGAGTATCCAGGGTAGACCTAGAAACCAGCTAGAGAAAACCGAAATATGTGATAAAAGTAATTTTGAGGACCATTCCACTAAAAAATCTAAGAGTAACATCTCGATCAAATAAAAATGAGTTTTAAATTTTCAGCCAAAGATTCCAAACCCTGACTTTAAGAAAATACAAAAATGACATTTCCAGCCTGTCCATTCTTCGCTCCACAATTTTTTATATCCACGAAAGAAAAAAATTCTAATTTTCTAGCCACCTCATAAAAGACAACAGCCAAGTGAGATTAACAAGCTGAGGAAAATTGAAAAAAATTTCACAGTAAGAGACATGCACAAGATATAGCAATAATGATGATTTGCATAGTAAATTATTATTATTGTTATTATTATTGCCATTATAAGAGACGATATTTTAATGAAATACTATAAAAATTTATGCTTAAAAATTCAACGGAAAGGCACACACACAAAGGAATAAGAAGACGATGTTGATGAGTCAATGCCGGATGGATGAGAAATGAGAAGATTCAAAGTATTGAAGATGCAAATTTATATAAATTCCGCAGATGATTCCATTATTCTCTTATTCGCTCATCCTGCTCCATTCACAAAGAGAAAAAAATCGTAAAGTCTAAAAGGTATTTAGCATTATAAAAGACAATGTCGAATATAAAATGAAAGGGGATGCTTGTGGTGTGAGTGAAGAACAAAAACAATAAACTAAGAAATTTAAATAAATTATAATTTGATGAAAAATGTTTTTCTTGAATGAAGGGCCGAAGAAAGAATTTTCATGCCTGCCAACATCAATTAATAACTTTTGCCTTCGCCACACAAAAAAAGAAATGTTTTTTAAAACCTTTTCCTTTTCTTTTTATTCTCATTGAGAATTGAGGAAAAGTGTCAGATGCAAAACAGTTAGGAACGAGTTGTGGGGGGTCTACACGTGCGTAAGGATTTGGTTAGTTTTTTGAAGTTTTTTTGGAATTTTTTTAAGAAAATTTTATAATTTGTCAGAACTTTTCATCATCAGCTGTTGATATTTAAAATGCAACCTTGCACAATTGCACGACTAAGGCATCCAAAGAGCCTAGCCACAAATTGTGTAGTTGCGATGCAAACAAACTAGATTAGAGCAGCGAAAAAGCACCCAAATCCAACTAGACATTCCCTGGAATCGAACCAAGTTCGTTGGGGCTGGTTGGCAACACTCTAAAAATTACGCCACTGCTGCTTTTTTGCTGGATATAAAATTTGACCAATAAAATAAAATTAATGAAAATAACTTTGATGTAGACTCAATGTCAAAAACTAGAAATACCGAAGAATCTTCAGAACCCTGAAATTAATAGCTGATAACTCTCATTCCTCTCCACATCCCTCAACAAAGTTTAAAAAGGTGTGAAAATTTCATTTAAAAAGTGTCTCATTAATAAATAAATACTTTTCCCATTCAATTTTCCACGTCACTTTTCTTCTCATTTAAAATTGTAAGAAAAAAAAATTACAGGGATGAAAAACTTTTGCGTCAATGATGAGAGGCTCTTTTTCCTTCTTTCGGACAATTGAAAAGGCTTTCATTATAGTAAATTTATTAATTACCATCTTATAATGTTGTTTTGTACGCAACTAAGGGTAAAAATAAAATTCTACCCTTAATATATCTTTCCATTCACAACAGCCAACAAAATAAGATACAAAAAGAAATTGTCGTCGACAATAAAGCTCACGGAGATAGAAAGAATAGAAAGAAGGCCCTCATTTGTTAGCAACATGAAAATTCATATTCATGGAACAATTATTTTCCATCTCCACGATACTTTTTGGTTATTTTTTTTTTCTTCTTCCTCTTTTTCATTGTCGGTATAGTCAGATACATCCGGAATAATTTTCTTTTTTCGAAAATAAATTGCACAATTCATTGAAAATAATTAGGCAAGTAATGAAACGAATGAAAGGAAGGAAATTTTGGTTATTCTTCATCTTTTATTGTGCGTTGTTAATTTGGAAGAAAGTAAAAATAAGAAAATTTCGTCAGGGGTTGTCCATTGCTGGAAATGCTACAAAATATACTGTACATGGCATAAAACTTATTAATTATGGAGATCATTTAAATGATTGGCGAGTTTTTTTTTGAATTTTATATATTGAGCTACACTCGAAATCAACATGAAGCTTGTGTGACGTCGAATCTACTTGGCTGGACCAATTTATATTATACACGGCGAAATTTAAGTTTAAAATATAGCTCGTTCAGCTCCCGTTTTTAAAACTGTTTTAAATCACACAAAATGGGTCATATTTATAAATCTTAAAGCCAATTATAAGATTCCATGCATTATACTAAAGGAAAAGCGTAGCCTGGAACATCGTAATTAATAAAAATTAATAACATCTTAAGCCTTAGCATTCAGACCTTAAAGATCCAGCTGCGCGTTTTCCACATTACAAGGTTAATGATAGTTTAACGGAGAGGGTTCGCCAGACCTCCCGCTCATACCTAAACCTACAGTTTTACAGTGGGATCCGAACCACTCCTCTGATGACATTTCTGCCTGTAGCATTCTAAGGAAGGTTGTGAGCCTAATTTCTAGTACATATGATTCGAAAAAGGACAAGTGAAAATAATTTTCCCATGCTGAGTCTCGAACCCATGATCGCTGTGTCGGTATTACAACAATTAGGTGCCGCAGTACTAAACCATTCCGCCACCGAGCCACTTCAATAACATTTTACTCTTAGAAATTTCTCGATATCATCTAGATATTAGGAGTTTTTGATTGACATGCGATACCGGCAAAGCGTTCAGAGCCAGAACTTCAAAGCAGTTAAGTTGAAAACTATGAGCGATTTTAAATATTATTTTTATTTGAACTGAATTAAGATGAGATCAATGCAATTTTGAAGCATCTAATGTTCCAGCATCCAGAGAAAAATATTATACAAATCGCTGACTTTAACTTTACTTCCAATTTTATTAACAGGCCTATTCACACATCAACACTCTTGATTCTCTCATTCCAACCCTTCTACACATCTCAGAGACATCATTTATCTTTTTAAATCAAATCCCTCTTCATAATGTCGCAACCGCTAATAAAAATGATGAAAATTTGCCTCAACTCAAATGCCTTTCATTGCCTTTTTAATTAATGAAAAATGATTGTTATTTGCTTGATATTTTGATTAATTAATTGAATAATCAGACTGAAAAGTTGATTTAATTTTGATATTAATAATTTAACTTGTTTTAATTTCTTTGAAAGTGTTAAGCTTCAAAAAATCTACAAAATCTAAATTAATGCTCAAATAATCTCATCATTATAAATATTTTAATTATCCAGCTTCAAAAATCGTCCGAAAAGCACCAAAAAACTTTTAAATTCAAACCTAATCCATCGGTTTTCATTTGTTCAAATAAAACACTTTCTTATCAAGCAACAAAAAGTAATTGGATAAGTTTTGCTAGATAGTCTATAAATGAATTAGTTTTCTTACCAACATAAATCCTCATAAGGCCTAATGAACAAAAACACTCAAGATGGAAAATCCATCAATTTAATTTTGTTTCGAGATAATGAAAAGTTTTCAATTTTTCAAATTTTCTCTTCGTTTTGTTTCAAATATTTTTTTTTTCAAAAGGATATGGGAAATGAATAACCCAAAAAAAGGGAAAAAGAGCTAAACATGAGCAACATCGCAAACAATTAAAAACAGCATTTCATCTCATTTATGTGAGAAACAAGAAAATGGACGAAGGAAAAATCCCACAATTTTTTTTCTTCTCATCTTAGATTGAAGCTATTAAGTTGATTCTGTCAGATATTTTAACGATGATTAGCTTTTAGATAAAGTTTATTTCTGGGGTCCCAAGGTTTATCTTTTTTCAAAGTTTTAAATGTCATAAGCCGCTCCAAGTTGTTTAAAGCTTGGAGTTAACAGTTTCTTGAGGTTTTGACGTTATTCTGGCATTAATTGAGGTGAATAATATAAGCACTGAGGTGCACTCACCGACTTAACGTGAATTTGGATCGGATTTGATATTGAACCATGATTAGAGCAGTTTTTTGTAAGCATGGCTTAAAACTGTTGTACATGGATTCCAAAAGGTTTTCAAAAATTTTAGAATTTTCTATTAGCAATTTTAGTTCTTTACCATC